GGTGCATACGGAAGAGTCGCGCACCCCCAACGGGCACAAATGGTGTGAACGCCCAATGCTGAAGGCTGATAAGCCCTGAGCGAACATCGCATCATCGGCATCTCATATGCGATTGTTTTCTATACCATGCGGGTCGCCGTCGCCGTCCTGGCCGCGACGCACCTCGTGGCCACCGTTGCGCTGCCGTCGCTCGCGCTGCCCGACTCCACAACTGGCGTGTCGCTGATCACCTTGACAACAACTTCCTTCGTCCCCTCAGCGACGAAGATGTCGGCCCGCTCATCAACCATCCACACGACGGTAAGCCGATAGCACCTTCCCCTTCCATACTAACAACGTCTTTCCGCAAAAAGCACGGCGACGATCAGACGACGGTCCACCAAACGCCATCCTCCCAAAAACCAACCCACACGCCAACGGCCGTCCACTTCGATCCCGTGCCATCGGCTCCGGTGGCACCGGCTGATATTCCGGGTTCTCCGCCCCCGCCTCCACCGCCGACGCCGATGAACACGCCGAAGGTGCATGCAAAGCCGAATGCGGCTGGCGGTGTGAACTCAGGACTGGGCAACGTGATCGTGAGCGACGCAACTAAGGGTAGCAGCGGGCTGGGAAGGGGAGGCGTGATGCTCTTCGTAATAGCAGTGGTGCTGGGAGGCGGGCTTTTTTAGTTCTAGGATGAATTCCTTTTTTGTATTGTATTACAGCGATAGAGATTTAAGGAGTAAATCAGAGCAACACGGTGGATCTTCGTGCAGGAATCGCCTCGATGTATTTACATTGAGTGGAGTAGTGAAAGCAGACAGTGCTGTCCGGATCAAGTGTAGGGCAGCGAAGGTTAAGGATGAAGAGTACCGCCATCACCGCCTTTGTCGACGTCGCCATCACCGCCTTTGTCGACGTCGCCATGGCGCTGGAACAAGGAGATAGTCGCAGGCGCGCAAGGGCGTCGTCGTTGGGCGGCAGAGGATGTTGGCGCCACTCCCTTGCTCTCTGGAGCTGATGGAATCGACTGATGGGGGAGTCTAGTTGGTGCCGGCACGCGGCCTGATTCACGGACTGCTGATGAACCCGGAGCTTACCTGCCGTCCTTAAAACCCCGACCGGGCGACGACGAAAACCTCATCAACCTGCTCACCTCCTAACCTCCTCTCCTCCTCTCTTCCTGCACAACCGCCTCATCAATGCGCATCAACTTCCTCCTCGCCTCCACTCTCCTCGGCCTCACCACCATGATCTCGGCCCTCCCGCTCTCGGCCTCTTCTGACATGGCCGTCCCCGCCACCTCCGCCGCTGGCGCCAACAACAACGGCGCCATGACCGCCGCGGCCCGCGACGACGAGCCCGACGCGTACGAGGCCCAGGCACCCGGCGAGATTGAGGGCTATGGCAACCCTTCCCAGGCCGAGGACGGCGAGATGGGCTTCGCCGGCCTCGGCGAAGCCGACGCGATGGAGGCCCGAGCTCCTGAGAAGGAGGGTGACGCCCACCACGCTCTTGAAGGCGCGATGGAGGCCCAGGCCCCCGACGAGGAGGAGGGAGATGCCCAGGACGCGCCCGACGGCGACGCGCTGGAGGCGCAGGTCCCCGAGGACGAGGAGGGTGACGCCCAGGACGCGCCCGAAGCCGAGGAGTCGGCCGTCACGCCAGGCGAGGAGGACGCCGGCGTCGCGGACGTGGAACCGGAGGCCGAAGTAGCGGGATCGCACCACCACGGTCACCACAGCCATCACAACCGGTTCCACTACCGCAAGTCCCTTCGCTTTCGCCACCGCCGCCGCCGCTTCCTCCGCAACAAAATGAGGAACTCCTACATCTCCGGCAAGAAGGTCAACTACGGGTCCACGTTCTACCACAAGCTTTCGGGTTTGCCGTAAGTTCTTTGCTTCCCGCTCTTCTACTCTTCGCTTAATTTTTTTTTCGTCAATTGCTAATATGCCCTCCCCACCTTCAGTAACGCCGCCCCCGCCGCCGTCGCTTCCGGTCCCGCGCAGGACTTGACGTACAAAATGAGCTACTATGCGGGCCAGAAGGGCAGCGCCGCTAGAAGGAACCTCGACAGGATCAGGTACTTCACCGACTACCACATTAGGCGCCACCATACCAAGGTGCGCCACGGGGATGACTGATGGGGTCTGTTGATTGATTAAATTCTTGTCATTGTCAACACGCCGGATGTTTTTGTGATTTTTGCTTTTTTTTCTTGACATCAGTGGAGATGCCTTTTGTAAGGGATTGCTGCATGGGGCTTTGTTAGAAGATCAAGAAGTACTTCAACAAAAGTTTCGACTTCATCTGTTGGTGCAGTGTGCTAGATAGTTTCCGTTGCTTTGGTCCCTCTCCATTCTTGACATTTGGAAATTACTAAAGAATTCAAAAGAGATTGCTTGTTATTCTGTGCCGCTACGTGAACCGATTGTTACTAACGTCGGCACAACCGTCTTCTGGTTCTGGGTGTGGGACTCTCGAAAAGTTGCTAGGGCACCCATGTATTGAAGTCACCAATTCAACTGCGAGCGATTCGGGTCGGCCTCAGCACCGGTTGGGCCAACACTGGACACGCGGCTCATTTTGTACGCCTTCGGTTAGGAGGAGCAGTGACGTTCTATTCACCACGACTGTTTTCATTTCTGTGTTCGCACTTACAGATAAACATTTAAAATACCAACCACAGCAAAAAAATTGACGCCAAAAAAAAAAAAAGGTATCAACAATACTAAGATTACAATACTAAACGGGTAAACGAAGATGGAGATTTATCGATTACAACAAACAAAAACAAAAGTGAAAAGTGCATTAAGAAAATATCTTGTCGCACTAGCCAAAATTAAAAACACGATGGAAGCAATGTCGCCCCGTGCCCTCCACCGCCCTATGGTTCTACAGAAGTGGGTACTTCATGCCCCGAGTCCACGCGCTTCGCCATTACCCGCTCAACATCGACGGTGGCAGTTTCTACGCTATCCCCGAGCTCAACCGCTGAGTCCTCCATCGCAAACTCGCGCTCGAGGAAATCCACCGCGCCAATCACAACGCCCAACGCCGTCTTGATCGCCTCGACGTCCATCCCCGCCACGCACTTGAATCCATCAATCCGCTCGGCCCACGCGTCCGCCTCCACGTTCAACCCGGCAAGCAGACCGGCCAACTCCTTCTCGAGCATGTCTACCGCCTTGCCAGCTTCACGCACGTGCATCTCCACGTTCGCCATCCGCGCGTCCCACCCGACGCCATCCTGCATCCGTCCCAGTTCGTCGTCGGCACCCATCGTGACGTGGGCCTCCTCCTCGGGGATCGGGTCCATCCGTGGCGACGACGATGAGGTGGAGTCTCGATACGTCGGGGATGAGTGACGGGGTGGTTGGACCATGACGAGGTGTTGGAACAACGGCTCGTCGTCGTCCTCGTCGTCGTCTTCCGACCCGTCCGACTCCGTCACGGCAGCAGGGCTCTCGGGTCCTGGGATAGACTCTGCAGCATCCGACTTGAGTTGCACCACCATCGAGGCACCGACCTCCTCCGTAACCTCCGTCGAGACCTCATCCATCTTCTCGTGCAGATCCGTGCCGGACGACACCCTCCTATTGCAGCGCTCCATCGCGACACCGCCGCCGCTCCCGCCGCCAGTCGTGAACTGAAGGGACGCGCTACCCTTTTCGCCCACCTCCGCAACCACCGCCTCATCATCATCATTGGCCGCACGCTCAAACGCGGCCGAGAGGCGACGTATGCTACTCGACGTTGTGGCCAGCTCCGACGCCGCGATGATCGGCGACGGGGCCGACCGTGGTGTCTCGGTGTTTGGCGACTCGAAGCGCCTGGACATCTCCGCGACCGACAAGCTGCGAGTCTCGATCGGCGACGGGAGCGGCGGGGTGCGCGTCGAGAAATCCGACGCGAGTGGCAGCATCGTGGCGACGTTGACAACGCGCGTGCCGAGCCAAGGCCGGTTGAAGGTGGACTTTGTGCCTGCGGGGCTGGCGGATCGGGACGCGGTCGAGAGGCCGTATGTTGGCGATGACGGGGTTCGCGATGAGGTGGTGGACGAGGTCGAGGACGTCGAGGAGGTTGAGGACGTTCGCGTTCGACGTGGAGGGAAGGTGGAGGTGGAGGTGACGGGAAGTACGCCAGTTGAATTCAAGAGGGATGGGATAACGACGGGCTTGCGGGGCGGTAAAGGGATCGTGGCGGTGGGCACTGCAGCTGCAATCATTTGCCATCAACATCAGACAGTCCCATATGCAAAAGTTCTTCATAGCACACTCACAAGCAACATCCGCCTTCCTCTCCATGCTTCTGATCAAATCTTTCACCTTCGGCCACGCGTGCGCCTCCTGCTTCCTCAGCGGTAGTTCCACCTCCGCGCGATCAGCCTTCCCCATCTCGATTGCCTGGTGCCCTCCCCGCTGATCGGAATACGACGTCGACCCTGATCCCACGCTGTCGATCGACGCCCTGGAAGGCGACGACGGATCACAGGGCGACGGGTCGGAGTAGCCGACCAGGGTCAGGGATGAGAGCGAGCTGAGGGGCCGAGCCTTGGTGCGGGGCGCCGTCGTAGTCGGGTCGTTGTAGTGATCCATGATTTGAGGCCTGGTCTGTGCTGAACAACGGATGGCAGTCCAGGGAGCGGCCCGTCCGCCGCGTTGCTCAGGCGAGCTGCTGGGCCGGTCCTTTTCAGCCGCGCACCGAAATTGCAGGCACAAGCCGCCGAAACATAACCCAGCAATAAATGCGCTTGTATTCAATCAAATCAACATTGGAAATCAAAGGCGAAGGATCTGGCGCGCGTGGCTAGCTGGTCTTTGTCAATGGGATGCCCGTTCCCAAGACATGGTGGATGAAGAACTATGCGGAGACTTTCTCCTCCTAGACGGTCACCGATGTCAACCTTCCCAGCAAGGAAAAAAAAACTTAGAGACAAACACGTAACGCACGCTAACCAAACAGCACAACAAATGAAAAAAAGAAATGAAAATATTGACCCATTTTTCAAGTTGCGAGGACGGCAGGGCTCGAACCTGCAATCTTTCGGTTCGAAGCCGAACGCGTTAACCATTTCGCCACGCCCCCTTGGAAGCAGTGCTTCGGCATCATCCTATCAACCTTGGCCTGCTTGCTTTGGCGTAGGTTGCCCATCATTGCGTCCATCTTCCCAGTTCCTCCCACCAACTCGCCATCACCCGCCCGACACCGGCCAACGCGTAACCATTCAGGGTCCTCCCCACAAATTGAGGAACCTACTTTGCGATGATTGTATTTCTTCCTCTCCCTTCCTAGTTCCACCTCCACCACGACTCCCACCAGCCCCACCTCCTCCAAGACCTCCCTCGTCGCCGCCTCCACCACCACCATCGCCAAGGGGCCTTTCATCTGCCTCGTTAAGTCTAATGACAGTAACTTGTTGGAACTAGATCTGCTTGCCATCAATTGCAATCCTTTCGCTGCACGAGTGTCTGCTTCAAATCACAGAAGTGCCTCATGTTGGCAAGAATGTGCTTGCTGGAACGCTTTATTATTGGCACACCATTCCAGCAGAAGGGGGGTCCAGGGGTCAAGAGCATGCAAAGTAAGAACGCGAGGGAGATGATTTCGCGAACGATAGAGATGTTTCCTTCAGTGGTGAATGGTCAGGTGTCGCTTAGATCAGGCTGTTGAACGTAAATTGCATGTTGTTATCCTCGACGACTCGCACGTATCAACAGTCAAGCCCGGTCCACTCCGCACCACAGTCTTTAGCCACATCGCTGGCCAGACTTCGTTCTCCACCAGCCCACTGCCATCAAGCAGTGCGATCAGATCACGCGACGCGGCCAGGTGCCAGCGTCCAGCTTGAACGTTGATAAGGTTTCCGACCATGGCGTCGCAGCATGCAGAACCCTCATCCATGATCGTCCCCCCCTTCTCGCCGTGCCGGCACGCAGCCAGGGTGCCAACAACTGGGCTGCTAGATCGACTGTCACCATAATATGCCAGGCTGGCGAGTCTCGAAGGACTTCCAGATCGCATGCATTTCCGCTGGCCACGATCTAAGCCGGACTTGTAGCGGACCTTGCCGGCTAGACCGCCGTCATCACGGATGCTGATGACTCCGTCGGCAAACGGGCTGGTAGACTGGATCCATCGGGTGTTGGGGGAGTCGCTCGAATTGGAGCAATCCATTGAATGTCTTCCACGACCGCCACCGGCGCGACGACCACGGCGCCGATGCTGTCCTCGGCCGCAATCTCCTCCCTGACGGCGGCCACGGCGACGCTGGTGGCCGCGTCGTACCTCTCGGTCGATCTCCTCAACCCAATCCTAAAGCCTTTCGCCTGGGCCGGCGTCCTCTCGCTGCCACTCCATGACCTCAAGATCAACCTCCTGAGGCAAATCCACGCTCGCCCGCTGCCTGAGAAGTCCTCCGAGGACGGGGAATCCGCGGAGGCGGACGAGCGCGAGGACCGGGAGCTGGTTGCGGGTGCTTGGAGGGCTTTGGGCGTGGCGCTGTTTGGCGGGTGGCTCTTCGAGGTCGTGGACGGCGTCTTTGGCTTCTACTTTAATCTCATCATTGCCCTGACGGGGTTCATCTCGGGGAGCGCCAAGGCCGGCGTTCCAGCCGACGCGAAGCCCGTGAAAGTAGTGACGCCGGCCGTCGCGACCGTAGCGGTTCCCTCGCAGGCGTCCGAGCTGCTAGCGATCGTGTCGACCCCGCCGACGAAGCCTTTCCACCTGAGCCGGCCGAACGGGTCCTGGGTGCTCTGGTGCCTGAAGTGGTCCGCTCGCCATTTCCTCGTATCGACTTTGTGGGACCCCGCGGCAAGGCGTTTGGCGTTCACGTCGCTAGCGTACGCGGTGGTGGCTCATGTGTCGCTTGCCACTCTGTCGGCGGTCAAGGCGAGGGTGTCGTCGCAGCCAAATAAGAGGCGGACTGGCGGAGGGGATACTCGCGACGGATCGCGGAGGCTGGAGAGGTGGAACGGCAAGCTGACCGGCTACTTGACCTGGTGCTTAATTTTAGTGCCGATGACTACGACCACAATGATGGCTCTGGACGTATGTGCATCCCCGTAGATTTGTGCTTTGGCCGTTATTGTCTGATCAAGTACTCACTCAGACCGTAAAATCAACGCCGAACGTATTGAACGAGACGGTGAACTTCCTCGGCAATCTTCCTCATGTGCCGGTAACGAGCGGACCCTCACTCTCTATCCTGTCCAACCTACACCCTCACCTCATCACCCTTCGTTCGACGGTCCTGTCCCAACTCGACTCGCACGTCAACGCCACATATCCGGACCAAGACCTCACCGCCTCGCATGTCGTAAATCTGACCCGCGCCGCACTTAACACTCGATCGGGCCACGTCAGCGCCGAGACCGAATCCCTTCGTTCCCGTCTCGTCGCGACCGCCACCGCCCTTGATGCCTCCCGCAATCTTTCTCTCCTGCACTTCCTTGCAAACCTCGGCCCCGCCGTCGCCGAGATTCGGTCATTAGGCCCTGCCGCTTTCGACCCATCCTTGAACCCCACGGACCTCGACCCGGCTACGCTCGACCCCATTGATGCGCTCCCGTCCCTTTTCGGCCCCGTTGTCCTGGACCTCCTTTTCACCAGTTACGTCTTTCTCAACACCCTTTCCACAC